CTCTATCTTACTATCTTGGCTACCTAGTGTTCTATCGTTTCGTTGTTCCATAGTCTATTTAACCAGCCCCTATGGCAGAAACCATTGGTTGGCTCATCCAACACTCATTCCCAATCTTTTTACTCTTGCTACTCTACAGGCTAGATCTCTCAATACTTGCTTTCCCATCCTCCCTTGCAGCCAGTCTGCCCATCTGCTAAGGCTCTGGACGAAGAGTCCGAAGCGGAAGTCTGGAAGGAGTCTAGAAGCTTAGAAGAGGCTTTTGGGAAAGGTCTTGCTTTTCTCACAAGGAGAACAGACACCACTCCTTCCCCTTCCTGCCTAGAATACTGATGCGGTGTCACTAGTCATGTGGTTTAGACCTCCTGACCTTTTCCTCCCTAGGGATAACATCTAGGCCTCAGCTGTATTTCAGCTCCAGGCCCAGAAAAGCAGAAAAGCCAGACAAGTGATGCCATGGCTGCCTTAGGACCAGCTGCGTTGACCAATTGGTGGAGACATGACCCTGAAAGGACACACCTGGAAAGCTGATGAATTTCTATGGAGACCCTTCCCTGAGACCTCCCCAAAGATTCCCACGGTCCAGAGAGAGATATATACCCCCAAGCAAAGGACCCATTGGGAGTTCTCCCTCCAGGGAGCACATCCGTGCCATTCCCTTCCCCTCCTTCTCCCTTCCCCACAGGCATGTATCTCCTAAACTCCAAAGGACCCCCAGGAAGCTTGCAACCAGGGGAGCAATGGGCAGTAGTAGCTCATCCCGGGCTAACCCCCTGAACCTGTCTCCAAGGCCCCCTTTTCTCTGACTTCCCAGTGAGCCAGAGCAGCCCAGCCTGGGCTCTCCTGTTGCTTCTTCCATGCCCTTCTTTGTTTCACTCTCCTAAGTATATTTCTGCTACAGCCAATACATTCTGGCTTGCTTTTCTACACGTTGTCTCTTGATGGAAATCTTTCCTCCAAGAAGACAAGAACTGAGGTCTCATCGTCTCTCCAGTAACAACTAGACCGGGGTTTCTCTATTGACTTTTTGGCCAGATAACAGTTGGTCATGGGGGGCTCTCCTGTGCACCCCTGGCCTCTGCCCACTA